AGAGGCATCTGCTTCTGAACATCTGCCTCTATTATATAAATTCAACGCGAGGAATCCAGTATCCAGCTCCAGTTCCATGATTGGGGGAAATGCGTCCCCATGGTGAATTGTCATTGGTCGGATTAGATGTTGTATTCAAGCATTAATTTCGACCATTTAGTTCAAAACTTTATAACTAGGTGGCTCTCAGACCAATTTGGTATATGAATATAAAAAGTATAAAATTTAGACAGTGAGCATGTTTTTAGCATTTTGTCTATAAATAATTTTTAATGAACAAAATTTTAGCAAAATAAAGATAAAATACTAGTTATGGTAAAAAACTGTCATTCTCGGAACATAAATTACTTATATGGATACAAATTAATTTGTAGCAAGTGTCCAGTGAATTGAATTGTGCAGGCAAAACAGTCTTGTGGTTTTTATTTGAAGCTGATTCCTTCCCGGGAATAAGGCCATATGAACGTAAGCAAGAATACAAGCTTTAAGTTGATATTCACAAAATTTATGTATAAAGATATATAAAGTTGTAATCTCTGTTTGTCTGTTTGTATGGCCGATCATAAGTTCATAACTCATGAAGCCTTTGACGGATTTGCCTCAAATTTTGACTGGGAAACTCGGGAGAACCACAGGAATGTTCATAGCTAAAGATTCTAAGTTAAGTTGGGCCAATTTTATAGGGAAAACATCGTAATTTAAGACTACGCACGGGTAAAAGGCGGCACTATGAGTAAATATGAGTAACTATGAGTAAATATGAGTAACTATGAGCAACTATGAGTAACTATGAGTAACTATGAGTAAATATGAGTAACTATGAGTAAATATGAGTAACTATGAGTAAATATGAGAAACTATGAGTAAATATGAGTAATTATGAGCAACTATGAGTAACTATGAGCAACGCTGGGTTCTCAAGATAGTTATTTTATAAAGATAACTTTTAAGGTTTGAATTTGATAAATTACTGGATGAAGTATAGATTTATTCACTTAGATTGATATTGAATCTGACTAAAGGAATTTAGTCTACGCCACAAGATCAAATTTTCTAATCCTCATATCTTTGCAACCTGTTGGGGAAACCCAGATCAGGAGTTGGGGAGGATCGAATGGTACATTCAGAATATACTGTTTAGAACGGTTTTCTCGTCTGAAAGATAAGGAGTGAAAAAGTGTTCAAAGGAAAATGGAATATTCCCTCTATTACAAATTTGCATGAAACAAAGTGTATTTTATTTGATAGGATCTGGGACTTACAATATTTCTTATGCATTTTATTGTATCACTAAAATTGGTCTTAGTTTGGAGGATCTTTCTCACCCAAATACTTCTAGACAGTAACAAATATGGGATTCAAATAAACTTTTGCAAACATATAATTTTACTTTTTCTGGAACAAAATTGCAAATTTTGCACAAATTTTCCACTTAAAATAGTATTTAATGTTTCAAGATTTAAGCCGGCGCTCATTTGAAAGCAGTTTCTGACTGACTTAAGACGGGGCTAAAATTCATTAAATTCGGACTCTGTATAATTTAAAACAAATAGCATTTCAATGGTGGTCTCAAGACAAAGACTCATCTAAGTAAACACCAACATACTTTTTTCATCCTGTTTATCTTACCAGAATCTATACTGAGTTCAAGGTTGCTAAAATCTACAAAAATTAATAATATGATGATTTGTTAAGGTTTATTGTTGATGAACCAATGATATGATAATTTGTTAAGGTTTATTGTTGATGAACGAATGATATGATAATTTGTTTAGGTTTATTGTTGATGAACGAATAATATGATAATTTGTTTAGGTTTATTGTTGATGAACGAATGGATCAAGTTTAGATTTGGAGTTTTCAACGAACGCCAAGGTTTCAAAAACGATTCTATTTACAGGTTAATGACATTTATTTTATTGAATTTAAAGTGACTGTAATTTCAAGTGAACCTTAAGATTTATAACGTTTAAACCATTGACTGATCACAAATCAGGGTTGATCCGACATCAGTTAAAGGTTTAGAGGGTACTGTTGTGAATCTGACATCAGTTAAAGGTTTAGAGGGTACTGTTGTGAATCTGACATCAGTTAAAGGTTTAGAGGGTACTGTTGTGAATCTGACATGCAACTCTGCCAATGGAGGCTCACTTAAAAGCGGGGTTTCATGATTAGACCACTTGGTATAATTTTATATAATTATATTTTTATCTATATAGTTTCTGCCACAAACTAAAATTTTCTATTCCCTATAATCTTTGCAACCTTATGATATAAATCTTTAATATACCAAACTAATTTGAATCAAACAGAATTCATAGTTTGAAATATCAAAGGTCAACAACTACGGTTTGCAAAGATATACGGATAAGAAAATCTTAGTTTGTGAAATTATGAAATGGTGGGATTTCACAATTATGTTTTGATCCACTTGAAATAGTTAGGTTCAAACAAATTTTTTCAGTTGAAACGAAATTTACCATATTTTCGTTTATAATCAAATTTTTGCAACTTTTCCTATATTTGAACAATAATAGATATTTATATTTGTTGAAATATGTAATAACATATTTTTCATATTTTAGAGATGAATATTTCCGGTTGACTTCTATGATAAAAACCGAGGTAGGATATCTTTTACTAAAAACAATTTTTAAGTTTTAAATTAATATACTCTGCAAATTTTTTGTTAGAATTAGATAAACAATTTTCTCCATCTCGCATTCTATAATATTGTATTCCATGTACACCATACATTGCAAGCTATATATTGTACGCTGTACACTGTACAGGGCTGTGTATCCGGTAATACTGTACAGCAGCAGTATTGTGTGTACGGTTCCTGTACACCAACATCCTCTACATCTCTTTCCGGTATCATTATTATTATTAACTGCGCTGAGAGGGAAAATCTTGAAATTTTAGGTATAGCTACATTTCTTCTTATTCTTCAAATTATTTATCGTTCATTTTTATATTAGTTATATTAGTCCCTTTTCTCTCATTTTTACTTTCATTTTCTTTCAATTTCTTTTTAATTTATCTTTCATTATTTTTCTTTTGGTTTCTCCTTTTACTTTTCTTTCATTTTCCTAACATTTTCTTTTTCATTATTTCTTTCCTTTTCCTTTCCGTTTTTCTTTTATTCTCTCTTTCATTTTCTCTTTCAATGTTCTTTTATTTTCCTGGCAATTTGTCTTTCATTTTCATTTAACTTTCTTTTCGTTTTCTTTTTCTTTTTTCTTTTTATTTTCCTGTAATTTTCTCTGTCATTCCACTTTCATTTTCCTTCTATTTTTACTGATCCACCATAAAGTTTTCTTTTTTCAACACAGTGTCGTTTTTATTCCTTTTTAACTATACACATAATTCAAACGTGTAATTTATTCATGTTTTTAATTTATGTTACGTTATCTTGGCACTTTAGCTTTTGCCCGGCCCTGGTTTTCAAAATTTTAGAAACGATTCTAGTATTGTACATTGTGTACACCAAAAAATAAATTTATTTAGACTATTATTATTTTTGTTTAGCCCCAACCAAACAGAATCTGGTATGTGGGGGTAAATCTGCCAGATCAATCATATCCAATCATCCTGATCTTAAACAGGGTCAACATAAGGAGACAGGGTAAGCTAAAGGGTCAACCTGAAAGCCTGTTATGTTTAAAAAGGAAAAGACCGGCTAGAAAAAATCCTCCCTTCTAAATGAACAATCCAGGAGGATCTTAAAGATTGAATTTGCACTCTTCCTAAACAAATATAAAAAATAAAAACGTCTCACAAATTTCATAAGAATCAAAAAAAAAATTCTATACACTACTGCACTCTCAGTTGAACTACCTTGTCTAGCCGGTCTCTCCCTTTAAGTAGAATAAAACTTTTGAATTACAGTAATCTTCGTTTGAGAAGATACCTTTGGTTCTTTAAAGGGACTGTTTTAGTTTTTAAATGTGTTGTTTCAAGTGACTATTCCTCTTATGGGTTAATAAAATATCCTTGTTTTTTTTGTTGTTCAAAATTAATTATTTTCAATTGAAGACAATGAATGAAAAAAAGACGATATCTTCCTCATTGTTACTTAGATGAATGGTTAAAATAAAGAAATTAAAGGTCGTTAACCGCCACAAAGAATCATATGCAAAAGTACCCAAATAGACAGAATAACTTTTTCATTAAAGTTTTAAAACATTTAATACATTCTCATATAATCTCTCTAATTATTCATTGCTATTCTTAGTCAATTTAAAAGATTGATATTTCATATGATTTGTAAATATTGTTAAAATAGACTGTTTGCTTAAATTGATGTGACTTTTAAAGGAACGATGGCAATGCCCGATTTACTACCCGCGGTACCCTTAAGAGCTTTGTCCTGGATCAAGTATGAATGAGATATCCATGTTTTTGTTACTTTAAACAGATTATTTTCATTTGTGTTTTTTTGCGAAAATGATTTGCGCATTTCTTGCTTATAAGAAACGATGTAGAAAGAGTCAAACACTTGATGAGTGAAGAAAACTATGATATCTTCCACATATGAAATGGAGGATCACTTGAAATTACGCTTACAGCCTCGATCAGATTTGATGTATATACAGGGTGTCCCAAAAAACATGGGAATTCTGTGACGAATTTGATATCGTCTTTGTTATGAATTAGCATTGTAATGCCTAATTTTAAAAGCCATAATATTATTATGTCTGATAGAGTTTATTCTATGAAAAGGGTAAAAGACTGCAAAGATGTGTCTATAATGTCTCCGCAAGATGAACAGTGAAGTGAAGTTTGTATACTGCAATTTTCTTGTTTTACTAAGTACAACCGTATGCAGTCAAAACATAAACAAACAAAATGTGAACATAGCAGACGAAACTCTTACGGATTACAGCTTCCCCAGTAGGTATCACTATACTAAATCGAAGAATTATTTGAAAAGACGATATCGAATTCGTCACTGAATTCCCATGTTTATTGGGACACCCTGTATAAATAGTAAATACAAAATAATACATATTAAATAATTTAGGTATGAAGCTGTTCGTTATGAGTACGTTTTACCACAAACATCAGTTTATACTTTAGGTAAATGAAGTTACCAACGGATATTGGATATTTATGTGCAGGGTTACCCACAAAGAATGAGACGACTGATGGATTTTATGCAGTTTTTTATAACATTTATTGCCTCTTGTTGCAGCTGCTGTACATATAATTTGTTTATCAAATCATTCTATATACATTTAAAACACTTTATTAACGGCTGATGACCAAATTTAAGCATTACGTAATTATGCTTAAATAGTAACCATAGCTTATCAGCTGTTTTTTAAATTTTAAATAATTTGCGTAACCGGAAACAAAACATATCCAATTACAACCGTTTTTTGGGTTTACATGCAAAAATTAATTAATCTAAAACGCGAAATTTCTTCAATCAAGGTTTTCACTTTTGAATATCGTAAAGTTGAATGCTGCTTTCTCAGCTACATGATGGTTGATTATAATAGACAAATAGGGAAAATTTCAAGATTTCAACCCTGGGTTTAAATTTAATTCGCGGCTCAAATATGATTGGTTTTACTTAAAATCAGTATTCATTGGTTCAAGATTTAAGCCGGCGCTCAATTGAAACCAGTTTTTGGCGGATTTAAGACGCGGCTCAAATTCATTAAATTCGAACACTGAAGATGAATAAGAAACACAATAGTTAGCAATAAATGATCTAATTTTCCATCTTATGCATGGTAAAGTCACATAAATGTGCATTTTTTATACTGTGATAACAATTTTTTCATTGTTTAAAATTACTTTATAGCATATTACGTATCTCAAATTTCTAACAAAGCTTACTGTCTGAAATGTATGGGGTTCTCGGTTACCTAGCTTGTCCTAATAAATCCTTGAACATTCGTCTCACACAAAGAAGATTATTCTTTTTGAGTAATGGATATGTATGGATAGCGTTTATTGTAAAGCCTATGATATTGTAACTTATCCCGTGACCCCATTGTTGGATTTTAGAGTTAGGGGGATTACTAGTATTTCGCTATAACAACAATATAGTCCCTTTCCTTTGGTTAAAAATTCAAAGGGAGACTGAATAAAAAAAAAGCAAAGAGCGAATAAATGACTGTGATGCCTCCGTTATCAACAAACATTTATATGCTGTTATTATCCATGTTATGATCTAAAATGAAATTTGTGTGTTCAATATTTACTGGCAAAGCATCTTTTTTATTGCTAAAATTTCTTCATTACATACTATACATTACAACCTTTGATTTTTCAATACTTACTATCTGACATTATAGGGGTTTTCTATTCAAATCTTAAATTGGGTTGAGAGACACCTAGTGGAATTGTTTTTAACTATTTGGTCCAAATAAATCCTTGAATATGATACAGAGCCGACCAATAACAATTCACTCTAATATCGGGTTCCTCCAATAGGAGAACTGACAGTACTGGTATTTACTTTGGATAAATTCTTCTCCAGTGGGCACTTATATAGTCCTCAATCTTGATACTTGTGAACAAACAGGATTAGAGATGGGCGCATTCGGATATTTTCAATTTGCTTATTCATCATTTTTAACGACCCATTTCGTTCATTTCAGTCTTACAAAAAAAATAAATGTGTTTGTTTTCATTTTCCATCTTATATTTTTCATTTCACTGAACGATCGTTTAATTTAATCGTTTGTTTAGTTGATTAATTATCGTTTTTACTATTCGTCCAAAAAAATCGTTCATTAACATTCTGGCTGATCCAAAAAAGACAAAAAAAATCGTTATTTCATCATTCATTAAATTAACGAATTTTAATCGTTTTGAAAAACGTTGTTTGTTCACAAAAACAATGTCCATCTCTAAACAGGTCCCACTTCTGTATATTGTGAGGGAGGGAGGGGGGTGTTAGCTATTGATGGACGTTTGTTTGGTTGGTACCATAAATACTTTATTTAGATATTTATTTATATATCTATGTACTTCACACACTGCACACTGCACAGTGCACAGGAACCGCGTCAAATGGAAGTAAGTTCCGTACACGTTGGATTAAAATATTTTAAGTTTTCAGAAACATAACTAAAATTCCAGTTTAATTGAGAAAATACGATCTACTGCAGAGATCAAATATTGTAAAATGAGAAATGTCAGGCCTAAGAATTTTTTATAATAAACTGTTCCTGGTCACGTTTATCTCACTAGAAGGAGACAATTCATTAACCCTTTTTCCGTTTACCCGTATATTTTCTCTAGCTGTATAAAAGTCGGGCCGTGGTACAGGAGTTTCATCGTGAGGCATATAGTTGTGATTTAAATTAGTAAAAACACAATAATATTTTAATACATTTTATTGATAAACTTAAGATCTTATATCACTCTGTAACTCTAATATATAATTACTTACGTGTTAAATAGTTCTAGATTTGAGTTCTGGGATGCAAGAAAACTGGGAATCCATTCATAAAGCTATTCTTAGGTACAATGCACGTTTATTCAGAAAATAGTCAATTTTTTATTGAAATATTTTTTTTTTATTTATTGCATTAAAATTATAATTTTTAATAAAATTACAAAGTCATTTCTACATTCCATATTTCTTAAGTTAAGATTAATCTGGTGAAAGATGCGAATTTTTGAATTTTTTTTTAATTCAAAATTATTTCGGCCTAATTTTTTTCTTAAATGAGAAAAATCGTAATTTATTTTTAGATTTATTCTGACTATTCCGTCTGGAACACGACTCAGTATAATTACATTCAGGTTCAAATTCAAATATTTCACATAAAACATTTTGCTTTTATTTCAATCAAATGCAAATTGAGGAATTAATTACTTAAGCATTAATCTGACATTTTTTAATACTTAAATATTTTCAACCAAATGTTATTGACTTTTGACAGTTGATATTATGTATACGAATTCTGCTAGATCAAATAGTCATATCACAGATCAAGTTGCTAACATGAAGGTTCGACTTTAAAACAAACATTTTGTAAAATATGACCTTATAAAAAAACCTTAAAAGTAAAAGTAAATTTAAATTTAATTTTCTGAATTTGACATTTTAGTTCATTATCCACTACACGAACACTTCTACCCCAGACCCTAGTCACAGATATTAACAGGTTGGTTTGAAAGGTAGTTAGATAGATAGATAGTTAGATAGTTAGTTAGGAAGTTATCAGATAGAAAGTTAGATGGTTGATAGATAGCTAGATAGTTATAAGAGAGCTAGTTACTAGATAGATAGTTAGATAGTTTTTAGAAAGACAACTAGATAATTGATAGATAGAGGTAGATATAATCGTTATTAGATAGATAGTTTGATATTGGATAGGTAGATATTAGATAATTAGATAGTAGATATATAGATAGTTAGATAGTTATTGCAAGTTATCAGATAGATAATTAGATAGTTCGAATTTGAAATGTATATTTTCGTTTATAATAATAGCAGCACTTTAAATCTTTCCAGACAATTAAAAAGAGAAAAAACAAAAAGTATAACAATCATATAAGACAGATGTATTCACACTTCATAACAGCATTATTGCCTCATGTTGCACTCACATCCTTCTCCTCTACAAATAGGACACATAGTTGCTGAAGCTGAAGCAGTTGCTGGTTTACTGCAGGAAGCTGAAGTAGATGGTGAAGCTTTACAGTGTGAAACATGAGTTCTGTTATTGGAACAGGATCTCCTGAGATAGTTAATAGACAGTTAGAGAGTTAGATAGTTATTACATGCAGGGTGTCCCAAAAAACATGGGAATTCAGTGACGAATTCGATATCGTCTTTGTTATGAATTAGCATTGTAATACCTAATTCCAAAAGCCAAAATATTATTATGTCTGCCAGAGTTTATTTTATAAAAACGGTAAATGGCTGTAAAGATGTGTCTATAATGTCTCCACAAAATGAACAGTGAAGACGGACAAGTTTACTCTGTTTGTATACTGTAGTTGTCTTGTTTTACTAAGTACAACCGTATGCAGTCAAAACATAAACAAACAAATTGTAAACATAGCAGACGCAAATCTTAGGGATTACAGCTTTCTAAATAGGTATCACTATACTAAATCAAAGAATTATATAAAAAGACGATATCGAATTCGTCCCTGAATTCCCATGTTTATTGGGACACCCTGTAGATAGTTGGATGGTTATTAGATAGATAATTTGATAAATAGATTACTGTTAGATTATCTATAAACTTTAGATTTACGATGACCTTTACCATGATTAAACATGGTCTTTATTAACGACTAAATTTGAACTTAAAGGAGCTGTAAATATAATTTCAAGTGACCTTCATGCAAAGATGGCAATGTTCTATTCACAACAACGTTTTTCTATAGGTTTAAAATAGTTTAATTGAAATAATTCTTTTGCAGTAGAAATGCACAAGTCACTTTTGCAGAGAACCCACAATTGAAAATAATAAACTTTTAAAATCATAAACATTTATATTTAATTGATACTTGAATAGACCAAGCTTTCAAGGGTTCTGTTGTGAATCGGGCATTGCCATCTTTGCATGGATCGAGAGTGATATGAAGTTAAGCTTACAATCCATTTAACCTTGATTTAGGGAGACCCTGTTCGTACGAATACCCAGACGGTCTGGGACAGGGCCATCAGGGAGCTAATTTTATTAAAAGAAAGTTTCAGAATTATTGAAAAAAAATGTCTAAATTTCTAAGAGATAAAATAGAAAAATTAAAAGAATGTTAAGCCCTAAACAAGCAGTTAAATACATTTTGGAGTTATTACTTAGTTTCAAGGTATAATTTACGTTTTCATTATGATTGCTTCACGCCACAAATATTATTAATTTTTAGAAAATAAAAGTACAATATGTAATGTTTTAGAAACATTAACAAAAACTCCTATACATATTTCGTTTAAGTTGTACATATATCTAATTCAAGTATAAGACCATTTTGAATACAGGAATTTATTTGATTATATTTTAGGTGTTTTTAATTTCCTGTCTCAAGAACGAATTCCCAACTGAATTAGTTCAAATCACAAAGGAGAATAAATCAAATAATTTTCATAACACGCACCCTTGACCCTTAAAAGTAAATTCAACCTAAAGTCTGACCGCCTCAACTTTGTTGCACCGGCTAGTCCTATTGAGTGTCTGCTTTATTTACCCAATGTCCGAGCGATACAGTGCAAAATGGGACTGGAAAGGTTGACCCGGCTTGGAAATTCAAATGTACAACAGCTGCCCGTGACAAATACGTACATTTTACACTTTAAAGTTTCATTACAGTATAATTATATTCAAGTTCTAGTCCTAGCCAGCTGGATAGCCGGTCAACACATGAAAAATGATATTTTAGCTTCAGAATTCAGAGTGTCTAAAAAGTTTAAAGAAATTGAGCCTTCACCACAAACTCAAACTTTCTAAACCATATATTAGATTGTTTAAACCTAAGGTCTATGACATTGACCATCCCATATGGAGACATTTTAGAATTTTGATTTATATGCTGCAGTACGGAGGGGTGTACGGTGTACAGGAGGAATTTAGTACAAATAGTACAGCGGGGCCAACAAGTACAGCTTACTTCCAAGAGATTCTAAACCATATAGTAAACAAGGTGCATAAAAAAAGAGAATAGAATATATATTAGAGTAGAATTTACTAGAAAAAAGTGTAAAACGGCCATTTTGTTGTACTGTTTCCATACTGCAGGTGTACTTCACATATTTGGGCTATATAACCTTTTGGGCCCTTGATGGAACATCATTTTATAGTAAATCTAAAATTAATACTAAAAGAAAACCAAATTATGAAATAAGCTGGTTTCATAATTGACCAATGATCATTTCACATAGACTCTATGCCTTTCACTTTACAAACGTTGATTTTCCGTTATAATTGTAAATCAAATGATGTTTTTTATTCTCCTAATTCATTTTTTAAAGTTTATTTAACAGCTTTACAAAATTCGAAATTGAAATAGATAGTCTAGGGAACATACTGTATTAATGTACTGTACTGCATATAATTTGTGAACATTTACATGATTTGTACACTTTGAACTCCCTTTCAGGCTGAAAGGGACTGACAAAATTCATACCGAGGGATTTTCTAAATTCCACTCTAATATTTATTCTATTCTCTGTGTACATAAATGTTCGGTATACGTTCCATTTTGCCTTATAAAGTCAGTGTGCAAATAGCTGTTCAAAGATCGAGTTAAAAATGTTAATTTTATTCCGTGTCTCTCTTGCATTTCTGCAATTCTCTTTTAAAGAGAAATTGTCAATTTTATTCGAGAAACGTTCAGACATAGGTTTTACAAGTATCATTGTGAATTGAGCATGTCATTCTAAAAAAGAGTCAACAAAAAATTGAGTTCACTCTAATTTTTCAGGTTGAGATAAAGAAAAGACAGAAAATATTCAGTTTCAAACATTCATCGATCACAAGTATAAAAACATTTAGGTAAATCTTTTTTTTTGTAGAGGATGAAAATCTCCGAAAGGGCATTATAAAATCCGCAAATCAGTAGTATGACCTACTAACCTTCATATCCTTTTATACACTCGTTATTCATAATGTAGTTCAAAAGCAATAAATGTACTTTTAAAGTTAAATATTAATGAAATATTACAGTGTACATCTAGCTTTCAGAGAAGCAACATAAAAGGTCCTACTCGGCGCTTCTAAAAGTACTCAAAGAAACTGAGAGAGAGAAACTGGCAAACTAAAGAAACTTTAGCCAGGGGTGTAAATCCCCTGTATTAACCCCTCCACACAAATGGAAAAGAAATAAATGGAACTAAAAGTAATAATAAAGGCCTGAATTCATCTTTTAGCCTGGAGAATGGAAGTTTTTACCTGGCTGGATTCAGATTTTGCTACTGGCAGCTTTAAATATACTCCTTTATAACAAGCCTGGTTAGCTGTTATTAAATATCCAAACTCGTCGAAGACGTTAATTCTTTCTATTGAATCTGGTTCTATGTGTAAGCATTAAGGGAGCTCAGAACAGTCAGGTTCTTATACAACTCTCTCCAGTTTAAACAACTTGGCAGTACACCCTACTTGGAAAAAAAGAAAATAATTGCCAGAAACAAGGAAAATGGAAACATAGAAAGCAGAACCCTGATAGGTTGTGCACCATACACTATGAAACCGGTTTATACTCTGCTGGCTGTAAGGAAAAGATTGTTGAAAAGACGAGGCTGTATTCTGAAGCACTGTCCAAGATGAACTAACAAGAATCAAGAATTCTTTAATTCTTTTGTCGAAACGATCCACTCCTAACCTAACCTTTTTTATCCCATTTGTCATTATTGACTCAGAATTCTGACAATGGATCCACAGAATTTTCAAACCCCGCTTAGCAGTGACTTTTATTTTTCCAACCTGTAATAGCTGCATCCGCAATCATCAAGAATTCCACAATTTACTTCATCAGAGAAATTTTATACCTCTGAATGGATCACAAACAAAACTTTCTGTTATATACTTAATTTGATATTTCTGGCGCCATGATATTAAATTAAAGAATAGTATGAAAAAGAAAATTGCCAAATAGAGAGCTGCAGCTCTGGGAAATATTGGGAATATTAGGGAGAAACAAAAGCAGAAACATGTCTCAAAATCCATATTTCCTTTGTCTACAAGGAATTTGCATAGATCTACAAAGGAGGAACAGAAAGCAGATGTATGATCAGCTAAAAAGAAGATAGAACAGCCAAAGATTAAATTCTCTACTCTTTTAAAAAATTTTGTTAAAAAATTTTAATTCTAAAATAAATATTAAAAAAATGAAATATTAAAAACTAATTTAAATGGAGTATTTGGCTTAAATATTTGCGTTGACTTAATGTATCAACACAAAAACGAGATTTCATTTTTGAAAAATTTGTGTTAAAATGGGAAAAATAAATTTTCATTTAAATCAAATTTTTTTATTTTTTAAAAAATATAAAGATTATGCAAAAAACTTTCCAAAACTCATATTTTTATTTTCAAAAACTAATGGCCAAATCATGAGAATTTTTTCTTTTTTCTTTTTTTTCATTTTTTCTAGTGTCGAACATGGTCTTCGGACAGATATGGCAGTAGTTCTAGAGATTAAAGACATTACGAAGGTATTATTCTAATTTTCTAATGAATTCTGAACCAACCTATTCATATTTTAATTCAAACTTTTGGAATAAGAAAAACAATTTAGATGATATATCTCACGATCTAAAGATGATTCAAAATATTCACAAAATTTTCAAGAAACCAGAGGCCGAATTTACAGAAATTGAATCGCGTCTCTGAACCGCCAATACCCGGTTCCAATTGAGCGCCGGCTCAAATCTCGAAACACTTATTTAAATTTCCAGCTTAACTAACTTTGTTAGGAAAAATCTCATTAAGCATTGAGTATTATTTAAATATGTGTGTTTACAGAAAAGTTTACCATGACCAATTCTCTAATTGAATTCTAAAAATATAATTTGATAGAAATAAGTTTGATAAATAATGACTGTTAAATGTTTCTTTTTAAAAAGGAATTGAGTCTTTGCCGCTAATTCAAATTTTCTAAATCTAATTTGTTCTAAGAACAAATATATAAGGTCTACGACATTGGGTTGAAAAAATATAGTTTTAAAATTTGTTGCAAAGGCTTAATTTGAAATGAAATGATATAATTCCTAAGCTGCATATTTTCAACCAGCTACCAGCTTATTAATAAATAAAAAATTCGTTAATAAATGTCAAATGTTTGTTAGGTTGAAAGTTTTGAGGTGATTGATCCTGCTGGAAACCAGAATAGTTTTGCAAAATTCCAGGACGGTCTGGTATACTTCAAATTTCCGGGTAATATAAACAGATTTCATGCTGGGTCCCATTAACCATAAAACTGCAACATAGGAAGACGACATTTTAAAAAAATCTTTTACTTGTAATTGATGTTATTTAAAGAAAACAGTTTTTTCAAAATATGTATGCTAAATTCCAGGACGGTTTTCTTCAAATTTCCGGTTTATACTTACTTACGCTTGTATATTCAACGCATTTAGACTCCATTACCGGGCAAAAATGTTGAATTCGGGTTTCTTTTAAAGTTTGTAAAAGAAATGAAATTTTGCCACAAACTTTGTATCTTTGGAAAAAATTGTAGACCTTTGATATTTCAACCATGAACTCTGTTAGATCATAAACTCTAAGTTTGAAATATCACAGGTGCAGTACATTTTACACCATCAAGTAGAAAAGATATTGGGATTACAAAAACTTTCGGAAAGTTGTTAAAAACGATCGAAAAAAAAATTACCAAAAAATATGTTTCCATAATTTTTCACAATACAATTGAACTCTCAACACGTAGGTTAAATTGTATAATTTAAAAATTAACTAAAAACTTTGAACTAAATATCTTCTTATCTAAAATCATTTATTTATCTAGGTGAATCACTAACTGGAGTGTGGACATATAAAGTTAAAATGTACTCTGATGCCATTATTCCATCCCAAGGGTTTACAGTGGATGTAAGATTTTATTTGGATTTTACAAAATATTTAAGTCAGCTCCTTATGAACAGCATAATGTTAAATTCTTTTTATATTGTTTTTATGTAAAACTGAAAGTTAAATATCCATGCTTAACTTCAGTGAACAAATGATTTAACTAATTGTTAAATGTTGACAATATTTGACCTAAGTTTCTAGCCCTTTTTATTGTTTAAGAATAAACCATTAAGAAAATAATTTTTTGTCACAAATTCAAAATTAAAATCTTTATATCTGTGCAACCCGATGTCGTAGATCTTTGATATTTCAAACAATGAATTCTTTAGACAAAACAGTCTAAGTTTGAAATATCAAAAGATTTCCCCATCAGGTTTCCAAGAAATATTGATTATAAAATTGAGTTTGTGGCAAAAACTAAGTTCCTTAAGAAATATTCCTGTTAAAATGAAATAATTTGTCATATTAATATGTAAAATTATTTAATCATGGTTCTTACAATAATAAATACAGAATTTGCCTCCATTTTGTTTATTCCAGTGTTAAATCAAAAGTATAAAAAAAGATAAAAATCCTAAATATTTATGAAATATTTGTTGTAGGTTACTATCACAGAAACAGATGAGGATGCAGTAATAGCGCTAGCTACAACTAACAAGGTAATCAAAATAAATTCTTAAAATTTTGTATTCTAAAACTTTTTAATATATTACTTTTTTCAGATTAATACAGTCGTCAAAGAGATTTCTGAAAAAATTATTATTTCTACAAGGTAAAGAAAAAATTCATATTTTATTAAAAAAAAAATTACATAGTGGGACCCATATATCTGTGGAATGAGGAGACGATATTTAAGTAATTTTGTCTGTGAATTCTTCTACTAGTAACTTCAAAAATGTACTTATGGGTTTCCCAATTACTGTTTTTCATGTTGATTAGACTAATTAATTAGATTATACTAATTAGACTAATTAATTAGATTATACTAATTAGACTAATTAATTAGATTATACTAATTAGACTTATTAAAATCCTATCTTTATTCCAATGTCGTCTTCCTATTCCACAAATTGTGGGTCATAATACTGTATCAAAAATAAAAATCATAATAAATAATGGAAAATTATATTTTTTCTGAAGTTTGTTTCGTGGTACAGTTCCTATCATTGGTGCATCAGTAGAGTGCAGAGTTCAGGTCAAAATATTTCAAGAATATATCTTTCTAAGATACTGTACGCGTAATTTTAAGTAACGCTCAATTAAACGATGGCAATGTTCAATTTACAAGGGTACCCTTGAACCCTTAAAGGGAGTGACCGGCTATGTAAGGTAGTTGAACTGAGTATGCAGTGTTGTGGAAAACTTCTTTCGGATTCATTTGAGACATATTAAACTTTTAAAAGATCTGTAAATCTTGAGTTTGAGCGCAAATTCGACGTTTAAAACTCCTTACTTTGGGGGTGGATACGTTTTCAGAATTAGTTTTTTTAAATTATTAAATTCTCTATTTTCTGATATCACTGATTATGTTACTTTTGCAGAAAAACCACAGATGAAAATATAAATAAACACTAAGATGAATATTTTACTCAGACTTGATCAGATAAAGGTTTCAAGGGTACCGTTGTAAATCGGGCATTGACATCTTTGCATGGAGACCCCCTTGAAATTACGCGATATTGATTAAAATTAAATCTTTCTATGTTGGCAAACTTCAAATTTAATGAAAACCAATGAAACATTTTTGGAAAGCTCTATTTTTATAATCTGAAAAAGTTACGTAAAAAATCTATAATTCTAAATGGAAACTGCAATTTTAGAAACAAAAAAATGTTTTTGAATAAGTTGGAAAACAAAATAAATTTACCATTCATTTCAATATGCAAAATTATTTTCAAAATTTTCAAAATTTGCAAGTATTCTGGCATTATCGATAAAAAAAAACACCAAAACTGCATTCTTCAGGAATGCGAAGGAAATGTGTTTTTGCCACAAATTCTAATTTTGTATCCCTATATCTTTATATCCTGATATTTGATATTTCAAACTTAGATTGTTTTATCTAAGAAAGTGCATAGTTTCTAAATATAGGTCTAAGACATAGGAATGTAAAAATAAAGGGATTAGAAAATCAGAGTTTGTGGCAAAAGACTTAATTCGATTTTTTTCCTACAGGGTCCGGGAGGGTTTGTTTCCATGTTCCCCTTGAAGGATTCAGGACAAGGGTTCCCAGATATAACTGCTCAGGATGGAATATATTCAGGCTACCTCAAACAATTTGCCACCAGCCCAGGTCTTGTATTATAGCCATGGAGTAGGAAAATTTAATGAATCGTCTATATCTAATGTTATTATAAAGCAAATAGTTTCCCAATAGCTTGAGAATTAACTTATTAAGTGATAAAGGTCAGTTTACACTGCAAAAATGTTGTGTTTCATGTTTATTGAACTATTTAAAGTCTAAAATCGTCTTTATATTCCGCAAAATTATTGGCCACAATGTAATAATTGCAACGACAAATAAATTTGCAAAATTTTCAAAGTAGTTTTTAATTGCTCAACAATTACATTTTTAAGTTGTGAATATTTTTATTAAAATTTTGGGATATGTCGCAACTTTTTAAATTCATAATATTTTGTTCATTTCACTATTTTGCCATTTCTGTATGGTGAATTGGTAATTTTCAAAAATGTATTTTTTGTTCCATGAAATAAATGCGTAAATTATAAGAACAGCATTTACCAATTAAACTAATTTAAAAATAAGAAATATCGTGTAACTTAAAAATAAGAAATATCGTGTAATTTAAAATTTAAAATTCATTTCAGGAACTTACTCAATAGGGATAACAGTAACAGATAATAACGGAAATGCATCTTTGGAGAAGACACGAGGTGATACAATTGTTTTTAAAAAGTTTAACCCCCCCCCTTAAAGAATACTTTTTTATTCTCGTTCTCTCGAATTGCTCGCCCTTGCCAACCCTCTTCACGTGGATTTAAAGGTTCTGTCAATATTTGAGAAAGCTGGGACTTTCAATCACAATTTGACCTATTGAACACAATTTTTTTGCCTTTTTTCTGATATCATTTTTTGCGGACATGTACTTTTTGAATGAAAAATATTAAACAAACAAATCCGTAAGTTTATACATTGTTTAATTATAGACCAAACGCATATGGCTTTAAATAGAAGAGACCGAACGCCTCTCCCTCACGGGGTGCCTTGGTTCAAATATCTTTAATTCTTTAATTTAATTTAACAGTTTTATATTCTAACAAAATATTCAATAATTTTAGGTGACAGCCCCATTATTGGTTCTATTCTATAAAAGTTAAATAAAAGGGACTGTAAGCGTAACTTTAAGTTACCAGCTAGGTGACCAGCTCTGTGCAAAGATGTCAATGTCCGATATGCAGCGCTAGCCTTGAAACCTTTATCTGATAAAGATTAAATTTATAGATGTCAATGTTTAAAAGCTTGAAAACTGATTTTTTCAACAGTGATTTCTCTACATAAGTGAAAGAAAAATAACAAAATCTTTCACATTATTGATCAGATTAAGGTTATAAGGGTACCTGTGTGAATCAGGCAGTGATATCTTGCCACGGAGCCTGCCTAGAAATTACGCTTTCAGTCTCTTTGAGACGCTTCCTTTAAACAATTAGATGTAGTTAATATAGTTTACAGAGATCCAGACAGCTATAAAATTATGCATCCATTTTAAAGAACGGGTCAACTTTGAAGTGACGCCATGAGATCTTTGATTTTTTATTAACCAACTCAACTTCGCATTCTTCTAGCCCTAGATATGTACATTTAGAGCTCGTCTTTCAAAATTCATTTTAAAAGGAGCAACTGGCAAAATCAAAATCGGTTTTTTTTGTGTAAGTGGACTTAATTTTGTTTACAATGAGAACAGAAAATAAGGTTAGATTGTACAGTTTAATAACAAATTTTTTAATTGTTTTTGTTTTCTAACAGTGCACAACATTTTTTAATCCTATCTTTTGCTAACAGTGTTCACCATTTTTAATTGTATTTTTTTCTAACAGTGTACAACATTTTTTAATCCTATTTTTTGCTAACGGTGTACACCATTTTTTAATCCTATTTTTTTCTAACAGTGTACAACATTTTTCAATTGTATTTTTGTTTCTAACAGTGTACACCATTTTTCTATCGTATTTTTTTCTAACAGTGTTCACCACTATTTTATTGTATTTTTTTCTAACAGTGTGCAATATTTTTTAATCGTATTTTTTCTAACAGTGAACACCTATTTTTCATCGTATATGTTTCTCACGCGTAGGAAAAAAATTATATTTTCTCTGCAACGGTTTAATCTGTGTTTATCTTCTATGATAAATGATGTTAATAGTTGAGTTAATATGGTGGTTTCATCTCCACTGAAAGGGACTGTGAGACGTCGTTTCAAGTAAATCTCCGTGTTTAGAGAAGAGTTTCTAATCTACACGGTTTCTTAAAAACTTTTGTCTGATCAAGATCGAGAACGCATAAAATTTTCATCTTTTTTAAAAATTCATTTGCGCATTTCTGCTTCAGAAAAAAGAGGGAAATTTCCCGAGTTTAACACTTTTAAAGCTAGAAATACGAAGATGCCTTCGACATTTTTAATCAGATAAAAGTTGCAAGAGTACTGTTTTGAATTAGCTGATTAGACGATTAGACGATTAGACGATTAGACGATTAGACGATTAGATGATTAGATGATTAGACGATTAGACGATTAGATGATTAGATGATTAGACGATTAGACGAGCCACTTTATAAATCTAAATTACGTCGACAGTACCTTTATTAGTTGTGTTAATATGGTGGTTTCATCTCCTCTTATCACGTGATCAACACGTGATCATCCAACCCTAACCTACCCTCTTAGTTCTCAGTTATCCAGGATGAAAGCCATTCCTTTTTATAAAATATTTTTTTTCTTCATTTTTAGTGTAAGTTTCTCTTAACATAGGGAATTTTTATGCTGATAATCATAATCCCGATCACTTGATCTTGATATCCATGGCGGGCGCTTTTAATTTGAGGATAAATGCTTAATCTCTTCATTTCATTAAGTATAGATTACCACGGCTGGACATCGAATATAGACTGAACTAATCTGCATAATAACAAAATATCAGGATCAAGCACTAATCTCTATTTCCACTATACAAGAGTTCCTAATCCAAGCTCACTTTGATTTTTATTATTTACTTTCATTTACTTTAATTTTGTCAAATTAACTTTATAAAACTACATAATTGCACCTTAGCATTCAGTTGCTCAGTTTAGGCTCAATTTCATTATGGCAGTGATATAAAGTAATCATCGTGCGATAATGTTAAGCTTATTTAGTCTATTTTCTAATAATGTTTTGATTTTACAATATTATAATAATATATAATATATATTATT